AAAAAGGAATGTAAGATACTCCAAAGGTCTAAATTACGGTGTCCTGAGCTGGGTTTCCCTTGCCAAAGCAGCTCCAGGGCTTCTGATACCAGGTGTGGACCGGGTGTTTTCACAGGTCCCTGCCCCACCTCTGCTGCCCAGGAGCACCACCTTCTGCCCTCACGGCTGAGGTGCTTATTGTGTATGTTGCATATGGGTTTGTTTCAGATCCAAATGCAGGTTCCCCGAAGGCAGAGATTCTTGGTGTTTCACTGGTGTATCCCAGACCGTAAAGTATGTGGCCAATGGTAGGAGCTCTCACTGTCCATAAGTGAAGGCATGAAGAGGAAGTTTCTTTTGAGCTGAACCCGAGATAGAGAATCTGAGTTAGCTGCATGCTCAGAAAGTATTTTCTGTCTTCGCATTCAGGGAGGCTGACCCTTAACGCTTTGCGAGTCAGGATATGGCTCACCATCTTGAGTATTCTGTGACAGAGTCGAACAGTGCTAAGAGCATCCGAGTAACGCAGTGAACACCATGGACACAGGCGTGAAATGTGTACATTAATAGGTTGTGTTCAATTACATGATCTCTTAGTCTATATTACCAAGGAAGTTCGAAGTACCATTTAAATATTGGACGATTTTGCCAAGCCAGGTAGAATCACTGCCTTCCCTTTGCATGGTAAAAGGAAGCCTGTCTTCAGTCTGCATGTAAATGTGGTAGTCACTGGCCCTGTCGTCATAGGTATTAAGTCCCTACTCTTTTCATTAATTTACCATTAGTTGTCCTTTGGCAGTGCTTAAAAATTATGGAGAGTAAAAATAGCATTTAATACTGTAGTTAATGGGTAATTTGTTTTTCACGATGCCTCTTTTCTGTTTGTATTTAAGTTTTATGAACAATATGATGATGTTGAAATTGGAGCTCTGGATAATGCTGAATTAGAAGGTTCCATTCAAGTAGACAGCAGTCGCTTACAGGAAGTTTTGAATGACTACTATAAAGAGAAGGCTGAGAAGTATGATAACTTTTCTTATCTCTTTTATTCTGCCTCCAGTTAGGATCTGTACTTGTACAACTAGATTGTGGGAAAAGAGCCACGAGATCAGAATCCATTGTCAAGGGAAAAGTACACTTTCCATAAGTTTGGGCTCGTACATTTTGTATTTGTCTTGCCTACATTTTAGAATTGAGTTCTAAGGCTGTAAGCAAACACAAGGAACTGCTCTCTCAGTCCCACTGAGGTGAGAGGAGTCCTGCTAGGCTGGGTCAGTGTGGAGCGTGAGACAGTGCGTGCGCGCAGCGCCTGGGGCTCCTTGTCTGGCTGAAGGATCGTTCTGGCTTCCATGCATACATTTTCTTTTCGTCTGTCTGAAGTGCTAGAAGCTCTACAAAGCATAGAGTTGTGGCATAGAGAAGTAAGAGCTTTTCTCTCCAGTGGGGCTAGCAGAACTGACCGCACACAATTTGTCACGTCAGCTTCTGTGTCAGCTTGACTTCTCTGGGGGAAGCTGGCGAGGGGCTTAAGCCCGCCAGAAAGGCCCTGGATCCTGTGGGCAGTGTGCTGTGCAGACCCCACAGCAGGAAAGGGGGTGAAAGATGTGGATATATGACATGCACATGCTAATTCTTCTCTAAGTTGTTTTTTTTAAAAAAAAAAAAAAAGCTTGTCTTAGGGAAGCCACAATCTGTTTGCTTTGTAGCTCTTTCTAACCTTACAGAGCGGCAAGTCACTCACTTGTCGCCTCTCAGAGTAAATATCCACAACACACCAGGAGGGAGAGGCAGGGCTGGGGATAGCTAAGCTTGGCCAAACGTGACATGTGGGCACAAGAGCAGGTGGAGTTTAACATTTGCTATTTTTATAACTTTTAGTAACAAAAATATTTGATACTGTTCCCCTTTATTTTAAAAATTAAACCCAAAGCTGTGTAAAATTGAATACTCTTGAACCTTTTGAGGATCAAGATCTGCCAGCAAGTGAGCTTGATGAGTCTGAAGAGATTATTACTGTAGTTCTTGAAGACACCAAAGAGAAGTGGGATTGTGAATCCATCTGCAGTAAGTATCTTAGTGTCCCCTGCTAAAAGTATTACAGTAATTTTATAGTGTTAAGTATCAGCACTGAAAAGTGTATATCCTAGGAGTTAAGCTTTTAGGCAATTTGTAAGGAGAATTTATGAAGAGTAATACTCCTATTACGGAGTTGTAAACAGTCTTAGAACATTTTATGGGAGTCACTCCAGTATTATTTTGCACTATGAAAACACCAAGGTCAGAAATATGTGGCGCACACTTTTAATCCTAGCACTTGGGAGGCTGAAAACGGGGGGATCACTACGAGTCTGATCTACATAGTGAGACTCTGTAGACCCTATCGACCCTGTCCTAAATACGGAAAGAAAAAAAAAAAACAAAGAAACATAATAATGTTTTTCTGAACTGAATCATACTGATACCTGATTTTTTTTTTTTTTTAAGGTACATACTCAAATTTATACAATCATCCACAGCTTATCAGGTGTCACCCAAAGGTAAGTCCCAGTGTCCTGAGCTTTTTAAAATATCTAATGCAGAGAACAGACTATGCACATTTTCTCATTGAAGTTTTAACCCTTCGTGGCTAAGCACCCTCTGTGTGATTAGTGAATTGCATTGAATGAGAATAAGAAATAACTCAAGCTGTGTCTTGTCTATTTCAGCCCAAACAAATCCACCTCTCTTGTAAAACAGGAATTCCTCTCCATGTCTTACCTAAGAAAGGACTCACAGCAAAGCAAGTCGAACGAATGCAGATAATTAATGGCAGTGACCTGCCTCGGGTCTCAACCCAACCACGTTCAAAAAATGAAAGCAAAGAAAGTAAAAGAGCAAGAAAGCAAGCTATAAAAGAGGAGCGCAAGGTAAAGTCGTCTCCAAGTCTCAAGGACTTGGGGGCTCTTGGGAATTTTTTGCCCTGTGAAAGTCAATTATATTAAGCATGTGAATAACTTATGCATCCTCTTGTGCAGGAACGAAGAGTGGAGAAGAAAGCCAACAAGTTAGCATTCAAGCTAGAGAAGAGAAGACAGGAGAAGGAGCTGCTGAACTTGAAGAGGAATGTTGAAGGTCTAAAGCTGTAGATGGCAGGGCATTGAGGAGGAGCAGGGTGCTTCGGCTCGGGGGGCTCCTCGTTACCCCAGTCAGCAGGGACGGTCTTCAGAGCCGACTGTATTCTGCCACTTTTACTGGCAGACAGCAAGGGAAAACTACAATGCTTAAAATATTTTGTACAACCTGCAAGTTTTCCCTGTCAAATATCCTATACATACTGTAAAATTTTTAATTTATATTACAAGCTTAGATTTGCGGAAATAAATGACTTCATAAATATGAAATGTTTGGATAAGTTAAAGGAAGATATCTTCATTACTTGAATGGAATTGGTGTATTTTATTTGTATGGTTGTCATAGTCGTCTTTTGCAGATGTTCTCAAATATTTCTTTGAAACCTCTCCATGCCTTTTCAGGAATTTCATGGTTTAATTTGCTGCGTGTAGAAGAAGGGCCTGGTTAAACTCAACTTGGAAATGCTGAGTTTATTCTGCTCGGTGGTGAGAAGAGCTTCCTGAGCAGATTCCTCTGGTAGGAAGCTGTTTTCCCTTGCTGTATACAAAAGGACCATTTCAAAGCCAGGGCAAAGCCGAATGTTAAAGTTACTAGAATTCAGGTTTCCTGTTACATTTCTGGATGACTTATAGCATTTAGGAACAGTGACAGCAGGAAACAGCACAGTTGGAGAAGTCATCAAGGACTTCATCTTCAGTGAACCCCTAGCTCAAAATCAGAAATTTACTTCAATTTAAAAACTAGAGCGCTCCCTTTGGCAGCCCATATGCAAACAACTAGAATGTTGTCTTCAACATTAATGCTTGGAGCCTTTTATATGTGACAAAAATACATAGTTGACAATGTTTTACATGAGCTGTTTTTAATATCTACAAACTTTGAAGGCTTAGGCAGTTGACAGCATCACAGTTGTTAATTATTTGGTAAACTGTGACTTCCTGCTCCTGGCCCTTGTTCCGTCAGTGACTGATGTGTCACTTGGACTGTGCCAGAAAAGCCACAGCCACTGTCAGGCTGCATGGGGACCGGTAAGTCTCGGACAGAAGCATTTTTGGCAGGTGAGCTACATTTGATAGCTAAATTATGAGAAGTGTTTCCTCTCTAGTTCATTTCATTTCTAGTTTATGGCTTTTCAAAGCCAAGATCAGCTTGTTCTACAAAGTGTTACCAGGTTAAATAAGTTACTGTGTGAGCTGGGTGGGCATGGTGGTACACACCTTTAAGCCAGCATTCTGGGAGGTGGAGGCAGGAGGACTATAGGTCCAAACCTAGCTTGGGTAATTTTTGATTTAATACTCTGTACTAATTTTTTTTTTTAATTGGGGTATAGCTCAATGTGAAGAAAGACCCTGCATTCAAAGCACAATACTGTGGGAAAGCTGTAGGATTTTTTAAAGAGTAGTAAAAATAATTGTATCGGGTAATCTAACATTGACTTTTAAATGGAACTTGACTGAAGAAATAGAGTGCTGAGTAGTTTTAAATGGCAGCCTGCAAAAGCAAAGAATAAGTTGATGGCTTATGTATTAGGGATGCAGGTCTTGAAAGGTTCATGAGTTCTTATGGCTGTCTCAGCTGAAGGTTCTCAGGACAGTAAGTCTGAGACACTGGCTGTCACTTTGTGCAGGTGCTGTTGAAGTTTACTTCAGGCAGTGGAGGCGAGCCTGTGTGGGTGTATCAGTTATCACAGCGGGCTGCGTGACAGACAGCTCTAGAAAGTTCATCCTCACCAATGCAGGGTTTAGTCAGTGTGTAATTTACACTGACAGGGATAAAGCCACGAGTCCTGACTGAGCTCTTGGTGGCATAAGGTGAAGAAGCTCTAGACTTGCAGATCTTCACTTTATGCTGGAGAACGAAATAATTTAAGGCTGTAATGTTTTGTTCTGTCTTCCCCCACCACCACACACCAGCACCTGGACCTCCTTTCCATAGCCAGGCACTCCCAGTGGCTGATGTTGTAGCTGTTTGTAAACAATGACTGGGAACTAAACATGTAAACTCCGTGCTGAATGGTGGGAATCCCCAGACGTCTGGAGGTGTGCTGTAGAGCACTGTTCCAGCCAGGAAAGGTGGGGTGTGTGCGTGCAGCCCAGGTCACTGTTGGGGGGTCGGCGTGACTAGTGCCCTCTGAGAACCGTAGTACTCACAGATCACGCTGAAATCTCTGATAAGCCTTCCTCAAGTAGATATGTTTCCCGAGTGTGGGTGTAAACGTGGCCTTCATCTTCCCTGCTTTAGCTTCCTGGTACAAGAGACCGTTTTGTAGTCTCTTCTCCCTGGAGCAAAGTTGGCAGAATTTTTGTATATGGCTGTGTGTTTAGTGTGTGGGATAGCGCTTGGCATATGGCATCGCCTCTGAGTAGTGTGTGAATGTATAGGTCTGTCACAAAGACATTTCAGGAAAGATCTGGGGGGCCAGTAGCACCCACATTCATTGGGTTTAGCATGCAAAGGGCCTCTGTGAGCCCAGGTAGAGGGAAAGTCGTGATGAATCTGCCAAGTATATCCCTATTTACCATCCATGATTGGTTTAAAACCATTCAGTGGGTCTTAGGACCTTAACTGCTGTGCCCATTTCTCTGGGCTGTCTGTGATGCGCTGTGTCCATGCCCTCATTGTGATGTGATCTTGTCACCTAGGTGAGGGACAGTTCTATGCATCTTGGAGCCTTACTACTAACTTTCAGTGCTTCATGTTTTTGTTGGTTGCTTTATTTTGTTTTTGCTGCCTGGGTATTGACATTGGTTTGTCTTATCAAGCTTGCGCTAGATGAAGTGTAAGAGAAAAATGGGGCAGAGGAGGGCAACAACTGTAATGGCCTTGTAGTTTACTTGTAGAACGGAGAATAAATCCATGCCCTCCATTCAGCTAGGAAGCACTGTATAGAAGCTGCCTATAGAACCATTGTCAGTTTCACCCTATTCTTTGCTCTCAGGAAACTTAGTCATCTATAAACTATCTCAGCTGTTATGCTAAACATTTCCTTCCTTTTTTTTTTTTTTTTTTTTTTCATTGTTATATACTTGAGCCATCTGAGTGGTATCCCTAAACACAAAATCATCTGATTTTGCACAACTCAAAGAGAGGCATAAAGCTAGCTATGTGAGGGCAGCATTTGGTGAAACATCCGGATGACGATAACTGAACAGTCCATGGGTCTGACTTCAGCTTGAATAGTTTACAGTAGTTCCATGTGCAGATGTCAGGGAGCAAGGTGCCAAGTCCTAGGGCACCACTCCCCAGCTTTAGACTGTTGTGGAGCTAAAGAGTTGTACAGTTGGGCTATCCTTGCCATTTTCTACCCATCTCAAGACCCATGTGGATCCTTCTTATGGGATTTAAGGAGTGACCTATCATCTAAACATGAGGCTGTAAAGGAGCTCACGACTTGCTGGGCCATGGACAGACAAGCCTGCGTAGAACACAGATGGAGGCAGTTTCCCATGCATGCACTGTCCGAGGATTACAAAGGCAGGAAATACCTTGGGCCTGATAGCCCTCCGCAGCTCTGTCACACACTCCAACCGGGGCTGTTCTCTGTCTGCTGTGGAATGCCATCTCCCTCTGAGGTTGAGTTGCCTTTTCCTGTATCTGCCTCACACGTGTGAGTCATAGGCTACACTAGTTCTACAAGAAGGTACAAAGGATATAAACCTTAGAGAAATTGAATGTATCTTCAATTTTCATATTTAACTCAGTTAAATGACACAGAACTCTAGATTGTGGATTATTTTTACATCAGAAGTTGAAATAATCATTTGTACATACTGTCATTTCCCAATTTGCTCTTTGGCAGTATGAACTCATTCTGACTCTTAAGTTTGTGTGTGACCAGTCCTTTTTCTCTGGAACTTTATAGAATGTCTCTCTTCAGTGTTCTGGACTTGACAGTGATTTTTATTTCTTTCTGCCGAGATGCTGTGTCTTGGAAATTATTTTTCCATCTTCCGTTGTACTACTTCTCTCTAATTCGTTTGGTGTAGGACCACTTGGGCTGGTGCTCTCACCTGCTTGTGTTTCTGTTCCATCTTACTCTTTTCAGGGAGATTATCCTAAATGTCCTCCTACTTGCTGTATTTTCATTTCTCATACAAAGTCTTTGTACTTCCAAGCACTCTAGTGTTCCTTTAAATTGCTTTTTTGTTTGTTTTGGACTTACATGCCTAGAGTCTTTCTTCAGCTCTTGGGAAACTCTTGTCTGCTCACGATTAGCTTTGAGGGGAAAACATCAAGTGTTCTGAGGATTGATAATCTGAGCTTGATCGTAGGGTGGGCTTTTTGAGAATCTCCCAATGTCAGTGTCTGTATTTCCAGAACAGTGATCCCTCAGTTTACAAACTATTTTACAATTCTGGGAAGGTGGCTGGGTTTGCACGGGGAGCATGGCCATCATCATGTTTGTCACCCACTGCAGAGTTTGTGAACAGGAGCGACATTTTGCTGAACACTTGGTTTGAGACAGTCTTGCTGTGTAGTTCATGCTGGCATGGACTCATTATGTAGGCCAGGCTGGCCTTGGACTTGAGGTGATCCTCTTGCTTCAGCCTCCCAAATGCTGGGATTATAGTCGTGCACCACCACACCCAGCTTGCTGGGTATTACTGTGCGATGGTTAGATTCCCAGGCAAGTTTTCATTCTGCCTTGACGCCAAGTAGAATAAGGCAGAATAGGTGGTCCCTCCTGTCAGTATCACTGTCCGTGCTATGGTGCATAGATGTGTACAAGTACATCTAGACAGATGCCTCTGCTCTCAGGCCTCATGGGTGAATTCTCTGTTTGCAATCCTTCTACTTGCCAAAATTTACTTGTAAGACTCACCCCAACATTTAAGTCACTGATGCAGTCATTTTGGAAAGATGTGTGTGGTCATAAAAAAGCCACCAATCAACTGGGTTTCCAGTTAAGGTCCAGCAGGGTGGTGCTCTGTGCTCTTGTGTAAGCTCTTCTCAGGGACTTTTTTTGTTTTTCAATTTTCTTGGTGATTTCATTGTTTAAAATAGGTACCAATTTCCACGTGCCCAAGATTAAGACTAGGCCCATATCTTTCACCATGCACTCAACTAAAATCAAAATGGATTGAAGATCTAAATATTAAAACAAGAGACACTAAATCTGACGGAAGATAGAGTAGGTAGCACTCTTGAAGACACTGGTACAGGCGAAGACTTTATGATAAAACTCGAGTTGCACAGGAACTTTGACAAGCAACCAACAACTGGAATCTTGTCTTACTAAAACACTTTTGGACAGCAAAAGAAACCACCAACATAGTGAAGAGACAGGCCACTGTAGGAAAAGAAAATTGCCAGCTGATCCTTATAGAAAGGACTGCTATGTAGACTATGTAAACTCAAAAAATTCAGTGCCCCGCCCCAATTTAAAGGCCCAATCCAAAAATGGACATCTGTAACAAACACTTCTCAGATGAAGTAGAAATGACAAATACATGAAAAAAATATTCAACATTACTCATTCGAGAGATGCAGGGTAAAACAACGCTGAGCAGGGACTCAGTATGTAGCCCAGCCTGGCCTTGGACTTGGTGGTCTAAGCACCTGCCTGGCAAGTGCAAGGACCTGAATTCAATCCCTGGTACTGCATGCTGTGCCAGCCCCAGAACCCCAGGCACACCACTGGCCCCAAACCCAGGCATGGTGGCACACTTCTGTAATTCCAGTGCTGGGGAGGCTGAGGCAGGAGGATCACTAGTCCAAGCTGCATAGTAAGACACTGTACCAAATAAATGTTTTTAAAATGCTGAGATTCCATCTCCAGAAAGAATGACTGTTGGTAAGAAACTAATAACAAATGCAGGTGGGGTTGTGGGGAAAAAGAAATACTTCTTCACTGTTGGTGGGAATGTAAGCTGATAGAACCACAGGAATCAGTGTGAAGATCCCTCAAAATACTGAGATCCCATTTGACCCAGCTATAGCACAGCAATATATACACACCCATCTTTATATACGTACACGGAAACAGTTCAGATGCCTGTCAGCTGATGAAAGGAGAAAGGTGACTTTTTTTTTATATATATATACAATGGGGTAGTAC